AAAAGAACATTTTAAGAAAAATTAAACTGATTTTTAGAGTAACTATATATAAGACTTGGGTTTACTACTGTTACGAAAGCAAGTTGTATTGGAATTGATTGAACCCAGTGGTTGACTTCCGAAGTAAGTGAAGAGGTCAAATTGTCAAAGAAGATTACAGCATCGGTTTTTTGGAAAGCAAGTTTAAATATTGTTATTTTATATGTACAAACAGTTAAATCCGTAACAGAATAATATTATAAAACGTTTTTGAGCAGATTTACAAGAAAATTGTGAGAAAAGACTAGGTTCTCGGAAGAAAAAATTATCTATTATCGTGATTCTGCCCCTGCTACAGTATATCTAAACATGTTGGTGAATTCCGCGATTAAAGCTCCCTGCAACTAAAAGCTCATTCGATCATGTCGGCGGTGCAGTATTATGTTTACAAGACGGCGGTTCTCTTATGTTTACAGTTTAGCTAAATATTTTTGTATGTATTCAAGCTGTGTAATAAAAAAGTTTTATTAAAATCTTTCTCTCGAACAATTTATCCCTTACCATCTTCTATTTTATCCATCCCGCTTTTACTCTGCAACATGCCCATAATACTTAAAACTATTACTGTTTAAAATTTAAACTGTTAAACTTATTTGTAATAGTATCTTTATCTTCAAACGAACAATACTGTCCTAGTAAGTTTCAAACCTTTTTCCTAAAGAGTTTGTCTTCACTTTTCTAGTTTTTATTCTAAGTCCCCTACAGTATTTTCTACTAACCCTACATCCTCAACATTAGGCACTAAGAAATGTTGTCCAGTAATTTCGCTGTTATCTGATTTAACACTAGTACTAAAAAAAACTAAGCTACAGGACTCAAGGGACTCAAGGGACTTCTTTTAACTTTCATAGTTCTCAAACCTTAAAAAGTCTATGGTAAAACAGTTGTTATTAAATGAAAGGTTTTATAGCAACCATAGAGGATTGTAAGATCAGTCCTGAAAATCATTTCAGTAATGATAATAAATAAATTATAATAAATTAAAAATTATAAATAAATTGCTAAAAAAAAAAGAAATTAAACTTACAGTTATTTAAAAATAAAATGATTTCATATATTTATATTACAATAAGAATTAACAATTCAGTATTATAGCGCCTGTACTAACACTGCACTGCTATTTGGTAAGGTCAGTATGCACACCAATAAAAATGGTTTAAAAATTAATAAATGCGGATAAAACACCAAGTTAATAATAAAATGTCGATTAATTTGCTTTAATTACCGGCCTACAAGGACTCAACCAGTTACTACACAAATCTCACTCTCCATAATAATTATGCACTTACTCTGTACGTGATACTAATACTTTCTTCCGCATATATACAAGGAAGGTTCGTTTTGAACTGCATTAAATTTATAAAATTTTAGAGACGGATGACCTATAAGCTTACTATCTCACCTATACAAGCTTTTCACAAAAATAATAAATAAAGACTGAAAAAAAAAACCATATATTTACCAAATAGTTGATCAGGCAGGTTTCTGTTCGGGATACGGAACAAATGACCAATTTCTTGCATTAAGGCTAATTATTGAAAAAATAAGAAAATACAATAGGCGGTTGATGCTTCTATTCGTTGACTTTTAGAAAACATTTGATACCATTGAAATAAATGAGATTCTAGAAGCTCTTAGTCATTGTCGAATAGAATGAAAAGATACTCATTTGGGGTGATACTATTTAACACTACTTTGGAAAATGCTTTTAATAACCTAGATTGGGATGATAAAAGTATTAGCACAGACAGAGAAAGATTAAATAATCTACGCTTTGCGGATGACATAGAGATAACGAGATAACAGCTGATTTGAAAGGGGCCGATTCAATGATAAAAGAACTGGGACAGGCAACAAAAAAAGTTGGATTGTAGGTACATAAGCTTGTACTCGGGAGAACTATATCTCTAGACAATAAAATCATTTAAGAAGTCGACAAATACAAGTATCTCTTAATGAGCATAACACATACATCAGAGAGAAATAGAGAGACAAAACAGAGACTTCGACATATCCTAGATATGCAAAGGTAACTGGGATAATGCGTACTATAGGCATGAAAGAGCATAAAAGAAAAATCAAAAAAGGAACTTTCATCTTACCCAATGAAGAAAAATATGCAGCAGAAGTGTAGCATTTACAATTCATTGATTTTTTAAAGTATCGCATAATATTTTAAAAGTGGTTCAATTTCCGATTCGTACGTATTAAAACACCGAATTCTTTCAATTCATTTTAGCGTTGCCAAGTAATAAAAACCATTTTAGAGTTGTTTATTATTTTAAAGATGTGTACTTTCTCGGCATTTTCTTTTAATGTTTTATTCGAAGTCGCCTTATAAATTTTGTACGTCGTAGAAATGGAATCTTCTGCGTTTTAATTCCTGTCAAGTGTTTGTTATTCCAAGTTAGATGAGCGAATTTTTAAGAGAATTTCGTCATTCTTACTTGGGTCGTTGTAGACTGAATTGTGGATCCAAATTCATCCGTCGAATTTGTTGTTTTGTTTCTCTTTATGGAAATGTATGTAGCAGTGAAAGTGTTGGGCAGTTAATGCTTCAATTAATGTTTTGAGTGACGATTGGAAGAATCTTCGTTTCCATCCTCGTTTTGTTTCTCCCTGTTTGTCATCCAAGGCTTTTTGGCAGTTTGGATATGGAGTTGTTCGTTACGCAGAGAGAGTGAAGCCCCCAGTTCCAGTTATGGTTTCCGAGGTTCCAGTGGCAACTGGTTCCACAAATTTTAGTGCAGTTTGTTAGTGAAAAATCCAGGTAACTTTTTGATAAAATTTTAAAGGAAAGACAGACAATTTTTTTAAATAAATAATTGCTTTCGTTAAAATTTAAAAATAGTAATATTTAATATTGTAAATTTTGGGTTTTGACTTTAGCTATTGTTTTATTTGTTTTCAGTTTTTAAGATTTAATGTTAACATGTGACAGCTAGCTTTATTATTTTCGATAATTTGTTTGTTGTTTAAAAAAAAAGTTAATCTCTAGGAACATTTGTAAGTTCTTTGTAATATCTCCAACTTCTAGAGTTTGTAAATGGATGACATGTAAGTTTTTTGTATTTTGCGACTATTGAGGTAATATTTTTGTATTGTCTTTTTTGAGTATTCTTGTATTATCTATGTTTTGTAACTGCTTGTGGTAAGACACAATAAATGTTAAATTTTGATTTCTTAACATTTTGTTTATTTTTTTAACTAACCCCTTTATTGAGTTTTATTTGAAAAAGATATGTTTTTTATGTTTAATAATTATTTTCACCAGTTACAACTAGTGGTTGTAATAGGTATAATTCGGCACCTCAAAGTGGCGACCTATATTAAATTACTAGAGGTGTTTCCTGTTTCTTTTTGCTTTGTTTATCCCAAGAAATTCATGACTTCTTAGTTCATTTTTTTGTAGTTGCCCTAATCCAACCCGCTTATCTTTTACTTATCCACGACACCAGCTCTCCTAACAAACCCTGAGTGCCGTTCGCACAAGTAGCGTTTATTTTGCTTGCCTTATCCCCACCTCCAGTTTCAGTCCCCAATTTTCTACCCCTTGTATTAACTACATATTGAGTTAGAACTGATGAAGCTTTAGAAGTATAAAGCGAAACGTCTTCTATAAACTTATGAAGTAGTTGACTTCTGTTTTTTATTTTGCCAACCTGAATGACCGAATAAACCTCTGAATTCACTAGTTGAATACTTTATTCTTCTTCTTCAAGTGCCGTCTTCGTTCCGAAGTTTGGCTATCATCAAAGCTATGCGTATTTTTGATGCTGCAGATCTAAACAGTTGGTAATTGGTGCAATTGTACCATTCTCTCAAGTTTTTCAACCATGAATGCCTTCTTCTTCTTTTATACTTTATTAATACTTATTAATAGATACTTATAAATACTTTATTAATATATATATATATATATATATATATATATATATATATATATATATATATATATATATATATAAGATGGTGGTATTCTTGACTGTTGTTATTCATAATTTATATCATAATTTATATATATATATACATATATTATGTATATATATTATTTTTATTATTATATATATATATATATATATATATATATATATATATATATATATATATATATATATATATATATCAGTTCTAATGGCGATCTATTTTCACATGAAATTTATCAGTCTACTACATATAGTCATAACGTTAATTTTTACTCCATCATATACATGTTTGACACACTCAGTTTGAAATGTCTGTCACATGTTTGAACCATGTGACATTAAACGCTTGCAAATATTTCAATTCCTTTACTTATCGTCGATCAGTTATCTTTTTTATATTTTTATGATGTCGCAAAAAAGTTTTTTTGATTCATCTAGTATTTTTACCTCTCGAGTAGAGTATAAATTATCTGCGAATGTATTTAGAAGAGATTCGTGCATTGTAGTGAAATAGTATATATTTACAACGTACTGAGTTGTTATATTGCGACTTACTGATAAAAAGTTGTCGATCCGGAGACAAAGTCTTACAGCGTGTTGGGAAAAGCGTCGTCCGAATCCAAACCCAACTTCATATTTTTAGAGTGTTGAGATAGGCTAACCGATCTTTACTTAAGTATGGGTGGTTTACAGTATGATCATCAGGAGTTGGAGTTGATGGCAAGCAGGGTTTTCCTTTCTTGTTTATAAAACATTTGGCGGTTTGAGAATTTTTGGACTTAAAATATTTACCGCAGGTTGAGCCGAGTGTATTTTACTCCTGTCCAGAGCACTTACATAGTGTTAAGTTAAATGGTCTTCTGTTCCTATATGGAAGAGTTAATATCCGTTTAAAGCAGGCAACCACATAAAATTTCAGAATTTTATAATGTTTCTATTGGCTGCTCTCAAGAGCAGCCAATAAAAGAGTTTAACTCTACAATTTATATTCACGATTTGCATTATAGAAAAAAACACTGAATTTGGTATAGATTTATTTTTATGACTCTTTTTTATAAATATCACATTGAAATTCTTTACTAGTACACGATGCCAATGCCATAAGATGAGCTATGGCGTTTTCTTCCATTACTCCAGTAAACAAGTGCGCCCATGGTCCTTGCGCGAATATTCCAGTGTCGTCAGCTCCGTGGGTTTCTTTTACTAAAGGAGCCAGTGAAGGCCATTGGAATTCGTTGTTTTCTGAAACAAATGTTTGTGACAAAAACCATTTAATTTACAGAGTACAAAAAATTGTAATTGATGTTGAACTATTTGTTGATATCATAGATATTATTAATTTTAAGTTAAGGACAAAAATATGACTTCGAAGCTTCTGGAAAACTACAAATACAAAAACGAATTTCATTTCATTAAGCATCTCAGTCTAAAATCAAGTTTGTATCTGTTCTATTTGTTCTTGTGTTAATGGACTACCTAAGCTCTGATGTCACAATCGGCGGGGACTTTCAAAACCATTCCAAACAATTCTAATTTGTGTATATTTGTCCCACAAGAACTTAAAAATATATTTTTTTATTGTTTGAAGAATAAATAAGGCTTTTTCGTAATGAACATTCGTTCTATGCGATTGATATCATTTGTTTTTCGTGAATTTTTAAGGTAAGAATATAAAAAAAATAAGATATTTACTATAAATGTTTATATTTTATGGTTATGTTATGGTTTGGTTAAAATTTTAGTTATTTTTTACTATATTTCAAGTTATTTTGTTGTCAAAAAATACCCCCCAAAAGATGGGGAGATAGCTGTCAGTCAACATCGCAAATACTGTTAAATCAGACCGGAAACAACAGGCATTAAGGACTAACGTACAAAAAACAATAAAGAAGAAAGGAATATATTTTTATGTTTGAAAGAATTTCGTTGTTTTTGTTCCAAAAAATTAACACGTCAGAAAGTTTATTTTCATATTCTTTTGAATATATAATTATTGTAATGTACTATAAAATAATATATCACTTCGAAAATACGTTTTGATTATTAAAATAATATAAAGAACACATATTTTACAACACAAACTTTTAAAGTATCATAATTGACGCCTTGTGTGACTACTATATTATTCTATATTAAATTAAAATTGTTTTTCATAGGTTTTAGAAACAAAAGAATATCAAAACGAAACATATCCATAACTTTGTTATATTTTAATACAAAATATTCAACCTACAGTAAACTCAATTTAACTAACTAAACAAGTTTTTGCTAATCTAATATTTAGAGGAAAGGATGCAAATATGGGCTACCCATTTTGTATTTCTTTGTAAAAAAAATAAAAATTCTATTTCCAAAGGTACGTAAGAATACCTATATTTAGTTACTTATAACCTGCCCAAAGTTCAAATTGATTAAAAAATATATAACTGTTTTAAACGTGCAAATAATGAAAAATTGTACTTTTGCGTCGTTTGAATAATGATCCTAAATATGGGCTACCCCGAAAAATATGTCTTAAATTTGTGTTAAATGAGATAAATGCGTGAAAAATATATTTTAATATCTAAAATACAAACAATATATCAAATAACTCATAGACAATGACGTGTGTGTTTCTTTTTTTACTGGGAGAAAATCTATTTGCAAAAGTCACACACATATTCTTCTTTTTCGGCCCCAGCGCACTCGTTATGTGCCCACAAATGGCACATGAAGCACTTGACCCATATTTCACCAAGATTATCCCCTGAAAAAAATGCTTCGCAAAATATACACGTTACGTCACCTGCATCTTGTGTAGGCTGTGTAGAAGGAAACTCATTGTAATCGCTCTCATCATCTGCAGGCACATATTCCTCTTCATTCTCGCTACTAGAACCAGATTTCTTTTTTTGATTTTTTGTTACTGATAACCTGCTTACGTTTTCCTTTTTTATTTCTTTTCCTTTTCTTTGCCTTTTCCTACTTCGTTTTGCTTCCCTTTGTCTTTGTTGAGAGATTGGATCAGTTCATTTTTGTAAGGTGAAGAGGTTATTACTGAACACTTACTTGGCTTACGCCCACGATTGGAGGTTTTTTTCTTCAATAATGGCACAGGAGAAATATCATATGGTGTTGTCGGAGATGTTCTTGAAGACCCAGATGTGGAAGGAATTTCTCGTCTCGTCCCAACCTTTGCTGGAGACGGTCGCATAAATTTGTTTCTCTAGTACAAAAATATCTATTATTATAGTAACCAGTTCTTATTGTAAACTATATCGTTAATTACTAATATTAATTATCAGTGTTCTAAAAACGCAAACAAAATAAAACAAGTGGTATTTCCAAACGCCAAATACCGGCAAATAAAAGTCATAGGCGTATCATAAATAATTGATCGTGATGTATAAAATATTTAATCGTGATACAGGATGGACATAGACAATCCCTTCTTAAATTCAAACAAAGTGAGCAGATCTCCGCCGACATGTCCAACTTCAGAAAAACACATTGCTAATCTGCAAATAACTACCATGCAACAACCGTCGAGCAACAGAACCTTGTCTAGCGAACAACAAAGCAATGTAAATTGCTCAACCAATATACTACTCCAAGAGACAGAGTCAACTGAGAACCAACATGAACAACCAGGTAACTCTTTTCTTTCTAATCATGCTTCTTCTTCTTCTTCTTATCTACCGTCACAAATATACATCTCTACTCCACAAGATAGCCAAGAAAACCAAGAACATGAATGGAAAACTGTTCAAGCCCACAAACGAGCAAGAAATGACAGCCCTGGAGGTGATAAACAACTAAAACAAACAATAATGAGCGATTACTGGCTCAAAGCACCCACACCAACGTCTAATAGATTTGCTAGCTTAGATGAAGTACCTGATGAGACCAACCAAACCAGAACTGATGCAGTTAAAGAAAGTATTCAACCCCCACCCATATTTGTTTCAGATGTAGGTGATATACAACCTCTTCGACAATTGTTAGAAACAATATCCCCTCTGGGATATTCCATCAAATGTCTCTACAACGACCAAGTAAAGATCCAGCCCTCAACTTCTGAATATTACCGAATCATAACCAAAGCACTCAATGAGAAAAAAACACATTATTACACCTACCAAAAAAAGGAAGAAAGAACATTCCGAGTTGTGCTTCGTAATATGCATCAGACAGCAGATAAAGACGCTTTAGTACATGAGCTGGGATTAATGGGACACGAAGTAACCAACATAGCTAATATATATAAGAATGGATCAAAAATAGCGCTTCCGCTCTTTTATATAGAATTAAAAACTAAGCCAAATAATAAAGACATATATGATGTGAGAGCACTCCAGAACATGATTGTGTCCTTCGAACCACCATATCCCAAACGTCAGGTTCCCCAATGTACCAAATGTCAACGCTACGGTCACACACAAAAATTCTGCCATATGCCTCCAAGATGCGTAAAGTGTGCAAGTAATCATCTTACTTTACACTGTCCACGAAAAGAACGCAGCAATAACGTAAAATGTGCACTTTGTAACGGAAACCATCCGGCCAACTATAAGGGCTGCAGCGTATACAAACAAATACAAAAAGAAAAATTCCCCCAACTCAGAAAGAATCAAGAGACCCATAGAACAGACACCTATGAAACTAATAGTCAAAGAGTAACCCCTGGTGTTTCTTACGCTCAAAAAACTTCAGGAAATAGTCAAGCGGATGAAATCACAAATCAACAAACTAATGTCGGCTCAAACCATTCAACGAAAATTGCCAACCTTGAAAACCTGATGACAAAACTAGTAGAGAGAATGGACACGATGCTTAATCTTCTTATGACTATGATTTCCAAAATGCACTAATGCAACACAGACTTAAAATAGCCGTCTGGAATTCAAATGGCCTAACGAACCACATCCAAGAAATAAAAATTTTCCTCGACGAGAAGAAAATTGATGTTATGCTTGTATCAGAAGCTCATCTAACAGACAAAAACTATATAAAAATTCCAAAATACATTGTCTACTACACAAAACATCCAAATGACAAGGCACACGGTGGCACAGCTATCATTATCAAATCTAATATAAAACACCATGAGTTAAATAAGTTCAGTGAAAAGTACCTGCAATCAACTAGCATTGTCATCGAAGACTGGTTAGGCAACCTTACCTTATCTGCGGTTCTACTGTCCTCCTGGTCAACCAATCAACGAAAACAACTTTAGCACCTATTTTAGTTCTCTTGGACACAAATTCATAGCAGGAGGAGACTTTAACTGTAAACATCATCACTGGGGCTCTAGGATAATTACAACAAGGGGTAGACAACTGCTGAAGTCAATAACAGGAAACAACCTACAACACATATCTACAGGAGAACCAACTTATTGGCCTACAGATCCAAATAAAACACCAGATCTCTTAGACTTCTGTGTGATTAAAGGTATCTCTCTTAACTACTTAGCAATAGAATCATGCTGGGACCTCTCTTCAGATCATTCTCCCATTCTAATTGACCTAGACTCCAAAATCATACTCAGAAATAAGCCTCCAGTCCTAACCAATAATCAAACAAATTGGAAAATATTCCGAAGCGCACTAGCAGAACAAATACCAACGAACTTGCCACTTAAAACAGAATTACAAATTGAAAATGCGGTACAACAACTTACTACCTCCATACAAAAGGCAGGTTGGATTTCTACTCCTGAACAAACAACATGGAAGGAAAGCATAAACTGTTCGCAAAGTGCAAAAAACCTGATCGATGAGAAAAGAAAACTTAGGAAAAAGTGGCAAAACACACACGCTCCTATTGACAAACAAAATTTAAACAGAATTACCAGAAGACTTAAAAATCTATTAAAAGAAGAGAAAAACAGGGGGATCCAAACTTACTTAGAAAATTTGACTCCGTCCAAAGACACCAATTATTCTCTATGGAAGGCGACGAGAAAGGTAAAAGGTCCACAAGACGCCATACCTCCTCTAAAAAATGTCAAAGGTAAATGGGCAAGAACAGACACAGAAAAATCTGAGACATTCGCAGAACATCTTTCTACAGTATTTAGTCCATTTAACAGAGTAGTGCCATTAGAACAAGAAGAACCATTTAATTCTTTTCTTGAGGCTCCATATCAAATGGAACTACCAATCACCAAGTTTAATATTAAAGAAGTAAAACACATAATAAAGAATGAGATACAACCCAATAAGGCTCCGGGATTCGACCTCATAACGGGTAAGATCCTTCAGGAACTAACCAATGACTGCTACAGAACAATCACTATGATCTTCAATGCTATGCTTAGTCTGCATTACTTTCCTCTGCAATGGAAAGTGGCACAGATTATACTCATTCAAAAACCTGGTAAAGATCCAAAAGATGTCAACTCATACCGACCGATTAGTCTACTCC